TGGTGAGGCTAAGACAGGAAGATCACTACTGAGTCCGAACTGGGTAGTGAAACCCTATATCAAATAAATAAATAAATAAATAAATATCATTAAAAAAAAAAAAGACAAATGTGATGGTTGTCAACAGGCTGGAGAACTGGTCTACATTTGATCTCCACTGGAGCCGGGGAGATGGCTTAGTAGAATAAGCGCTTCCCTGGCAAGCACAAGGGTCTGAGTTCATTCTCCGGTTCTACCAAAAGAAAAAAAAGTACATTTGATCTCCATCTTGTGTGTGGCTGGGAACTCATGCTGGCCTGGAGACACAGGCAAGCCAGGCTGAATGGGGAAGTGGGTGGGCAGCCATTTGGCATCCTACGAGCTTGGGGAAAGGAGACGGCTGCTTCTGGCTGGCTCCATAAAGCCCAGCAGAGACCCAGAGGCCCCTGAGATCACCAAGTCTAGAAGGAAAGAACCATCCTGTAAACAGGCATCTACGTTATGTAGAGAACACACAGACTGAGTACACAGGAGCCAAAACAAGCGGGAATGAAGAAGGAGCAGGTCATGAGCCCAGGAATCTGAGTCACATTGAAAGGCAAAACTGTATCCAGGTGTGGTAACACATGTCTGTAACCCCAGCATTTGCGCAGGCTGAGGCAGGATGATTGCCACAAGTTGCCTCAAGTTCAAGGCCAGCCTAGGGTATGTAGTGAGTTCAACATGAAAGTAAACTATAGCAAGACTCTGTCTCAGCAAACAAACAAAAATAGCAAAAATGTAAAAGTACACATAACAAATGGGCAGAACATGCTGGTAGGAAGGCCAAGTCCACTCGGCTCTGAGGAATGCCACAGAGCCTGTATGAAGCCTTCCAGAACCAGCAGTTTCAATAGCAACAGCTGTTCCAGGACTTCCTGATGACTAAACCCACCCGTGTCTCTCCTGCTGCCCTTGGCCACTCACCAGACACAGGTCTAGTGGATTCTGGAGGCTCTTTTGCCTCAGGGGGTCTAAAGCTTAAAGGCTCAGGTTTCCTGCTTTAGAAAGACCAAGCAGGGCTGGTGAGATGGCTCAGTGGTCTAAAAGCACCTACTTGGAATGAGCTTAGCAAAGCAAAGGGACCGCGGTTCAATCCCCCAGCACCACATGCCAGCCAGCCCCGCCCCCTGGTGGGCTGAGCTGGCCACACACACACACACACACACACACACACACATAAATTTAAAAAAAAAAAAAAGAACAAGCAGAGTGACAAGGCAGCTCTGTTCTAGGAAAGAAGCACTGGGCTGGGAATCGGGGCAGCCCTAGGCCCACCCTGGGGACAGGTGCCAGGCTAAATACCAGGCTTCCTCACTGTGAGATCATCTCAGGATGATGGCATTCTCAGGGAAGTGTTCTATCAGGTGTCCTCATCCTGAACAGCAGACATGAATTTGCAAAGGTGACCCCAAACCCGAGTTCCCCTCTAAAATCCTAGATAGGTGCAAAGGGGCTAGAAGGTCTTGCAGGATGGGGTAAGGCTGGAGAGCAGCCCAGAAACGCTGAGCCAGGGCCACAGCGAACACTTGCAGTCATGCAGCTGCCTCCAGTAGGCCAAGAATGTCGCCCGTGTTCATCTCACCCTGAACCTCAGCCTGCAGCCTTATTAGGAAGAGGTCTCTGCAGCTGTAATCAGTTACGATCAGGCCACCATGGATGGGAAGGGGGTAGTCCAAAGACTGGGGTCTTATGAAAAGAGAGGAGAAAATAAAAAGGAGAGGACATGGATATAGACCTGCACACACACAGAAATAGTCACAGAGGTGCCCAGGGGAGGAAGCTGTGTGTGATGACAGAAGCCTCATCCAAGGAGCTCTGGCAGATTCCCGCAACTGGACTCTTTAGAAGGAACCAGCCTTGGCCTTGTGGCCCCCATGACAGAGCCTTTCTCTTGCAGAAGCTGCCTGGCTCACATTGCTGCAGCGCCCAAGACACACATGCAGCTCAGAATCTATTCCCCTCCATGCTATCCTCAAATTCCTCTCATGGCCTGGGCACCCCAAGGGCCCTGCCACCATGTTTTCATGCTGGTCATGAGCACACAGAGTTGCCCTTAAATGCTTTCAGATCGTGGCAGCTTCTTCTCTAGGAGCATCACAGGTCCTGAGACAGGGAACTGCTAAGAAGATTCCTTGCAGAAGAGAGCTCCATGTGCAGGGGCCTGGTTCTCAAACTCACATCCCAAAGCCCTGCTGCTGCCCCCGTGGGGAGCGGTAGCTGCTGTGCGTCCTCTGGTGTTGGTGGAGGTCATGCGCCCCGCTGTGGGTAGCCAGGCTGGAGCTTAGGTGGAATTGCCTCCTGCACCCAGGACATGGGTAGAGCTGCTCACCTGGGCACATCCCGTAGGCCCTGAGTCCTTGGCACAGGCTGGGCACACACGAGGCACTTGCTGGCCTGTGCCCCTGGCAGCTGGACTGGTGCGGGGCTATACTGAAGCCCCTGCAGAGATGAGGAACATGTGTACCTTGCCAGTTCTGATGGCCCATTTTTAGGAAGGGCAGCCCATGGCCACTCAGACCTGGCCAAACCTGTGTCAAGGGCTGGCCCCCAGCACCGTGTAGGGCACTTGGTACCTCCTGATCCTCAGGGTTGTGTCCCCCCACTGCTGTGGGCACTACCCGCTGGCTAGATACCAAGACTCATGAGAGGAAAAAGCCCTGAGGGCCCCAGGCAGGAGAGGGGATGCTCTGCTGGAAAGTGGCGAGGGCTACTCAGGGGCTCCCTGCATGCTCTTTATAGTGCCGGCTAGGGTATGTTAAGACAGCAGCAGCAGGAGAGGAGACATCAGAATCCTGGAGGGCCATTTCTTTTTTTTTTTTTAAACATTGTGTGTGTGTGTGTGTGTGTGTGTGTGTGTGTGTGTGTGTGTGGCCAGCTCAGCCCACCAGGGGGCGCGGCTGGCTGGGGGATCGAACCGCAGTCCCTGTGCTTTGCCAAGCTTGTTCCAAGTAGGTGCTTTAGACCACTGAGCCATCTCTCCAGCCCCTGGAGGGCCCTTTCTGAAGCAGGAAGGAGCTCGTTCACTCCCTCCAGTGTCCCTGGCATTGGTGCTGCTCGCTTCCCGGCCCACAGAGCCCAGAGAGGTTAGGGACTCAACCTGAAGCCACTGGACTGCAAGCTACAGGACCTGCTGTGGCTCTGACTCAGCCCCAGCCACTGGGCCAGGGGTTTCCACCCAGGGTAACCCAGAGAGACACTTGTACCTGGCCTTCGGGGGTTGTCATGGCACCAGTGGGGGGCCAGGAACACAGGGAAATGTCCTCTGGTGCACAGGAAACCCACAAGTGAGGATGGTTCAGGTCCAAATGGCAACAGGGCCCAGGAGGAAAGGGAGAGACCCTGCTCTAGGCTTTGTGGGCCATGGGTGCAGGACAGAAGGCCTGGGGTCCCAGCTCTCCTGCCTTTTTCCCATACACGCAAGGTCCCTTTGCAGGTCCAAGTTAAAAAGCTCTGTGACACAAGCACAGAGTGAGATACTGCTCTGCCCAGGCTGTGTGACTTCGGGCAAATGGCTTGACTGCTCTGTGTGTTGGTCTGTACACGAGGCTAACAGTGCCTGAGGACTTCGTGGCCCAAGGCACACTGGGACACCTGGTGCCTGGGAGAGCATCCGCTGTCAAGGCAGGATCATGAGTCTGTGCATAGAGCGGGCACACACCAAATCCTGGGGAAGTGCCCGCATCACAGCCCTGTCCATGCCTGGCCTCCCGATCCTCTGCTGCTCCAAGCCGGCCCCCTTCAGAACTCGGGAAGGGCAGTGCTTAGCCTCAATCCCATACTTGTCGAATGGGGCTAAGTCATGGGCCTGCTGTCAAAAAGTCTGTACAATGGGGAGGGATTAAACAAATAGAACTGTGTGCAACCAGGACAGAGAATCACTTCCCTACCATTTCCACTCTGATAATGGACACATTTATAAACTCTTCATCTTCATTTTTCTCTTTCATATTATGAGATCATGATGCTGTTTATTATGGTTTTGTGAACACTAAAAGAGTTAATACATTTAAAACATTTATAAATGTAAAAAAAAAAATAGAACTAAGATACATGATGCACATGTACCAGCTCCTCATGGGGAATGTGATATTATGTTCTGCAGATGGGTACTAATAATTTTTATTTTTAAAATCTTTAAAAATAAACTTTAAAATGCTGTAAAACGGAATCAAGTTTAACAATTCCTCAGAAAGTATGACAGAGGGATTTATGACCCAGCAATGCCACTCGT